TGACCCTGACTGCCAGCGAGCTGAGGGCTGCCCCTTCCCCTCACGGTTATTCACTCCCAATCCAACCACGCCTAAGCCACCATGCCAAGGCCACTAGCTTTGTCTTCTTATTGCCACCCACAACACCAACTCTCATCCTTCCCACGCACGTATTTTCTCAGTACTTCCAATCCCTTCCAAGTTCCTCTGCAGTGATCCTTTATTTTGACAACCACTCTTCACAGCCCCTCTTCCATAAATAAAAACCCAGCACCCAGCAAAATGGCCTTTCAGAGCCTTCTTCGACAACCTTGAAGGAGGTTGGGCTGGGCCAACCTCATCCTGTCCACACTCCCCTGCTTTCCCTCCAGCCCAAACTGTTTTCTGTCTAGAAGTCCACCCTCCTCTCCTCCCCAAAGATTCATCTCTATGTACGACTCCTCCCGTAACTCCTTCTCAGATCTGCCCTGGTCTCACAGACTATGTGAAGAACAGCAGACGCACACTACTTGCAAAACCAAGAACTAAATTTGCTGCTAGTTTTCAAGATTCGTCACTTTCACTGTGAGACACCAAGGTTTGCTGTTTTGTGAACCTCAAGTTCATTGACACAGCTGAGTGAAAGAACTACGAGAAACACAGAACTACAGAGGTTTGGAGCTATCGGTGCAGGTGCAGACAACAACAATTCTGTAGAAACCACTGCCTTACCACGGTGCTACAAGGGTGATCACAAGAAATTGTGAAGCATTAGCCGTTTGGAAAATAGAGGTTTAAGAGTATTGGAGAGAAACCTTGCGTTAAGTTTTATCTAAAAGTAGCTCAATGTGGAATCCCTCTCCGTTGCAGGCACTGCATAAGACAGCTTCTATTATCTTATTTTCTTAATTACAGGAAACACTAGAGAAAACTCAAACTTCGAACTTCCACATCTGCTCTTATTTCCACACCTAATGGGAAACCCATAACTTTGTTCCTGTAGCTAAGAATGTGCACACTCATAATCAGAGAGATGAATTACCTTACAGTCTCTGTTGGAGCCACTAACTTAAAAGGAAGTTGGGTTTCCTCTGATTATTGATTCACAGAAGCACTGGCAAACCACCAGAGGTTGCAGCCATTCTGGAAAGGAAATATCTTTTTGCAGTCAACTTTACACAGAAATTATGAGCATAGTTTTAAGAAATGCAGAAAAATTTTTGCTTTAAAAGGCTAAATTCAGTGACAGTCTCAGCTTTTTCCTACATGCTCACTTCTTTCACCTTTACAGCAACAATATACTGGTGCAGGAAACTGGACATTCCTTCTACATGCTGACAGATTTCTCACATTGAACAGCAAAACCTCCTGGTCGCATCCATCACTTCTGTCGCTTCCTCCTCTGCTGTGTTCCTGGAGAGCCCAGAAGCATCGCACCTTTGAGAAAAGCAATAAATAACGGCAGTACTCTGGTGAACACGCTTCCAGTCTATTTCTGTCAATACGTACACTTGTGACCCTACCTTCACGAGCAGTGATCCTCCCTTGTTACTGCAAACTGCAGCTGACTGAGCTCCTGCTGACTCAGGAATTCAAACTATAAAAACCTTCTGAGCTGTCACTGCCAAAGACACCATCCGTTCAGCCACTCCATTTTCAACAGTGGCTATGTATTAAGAAAGTCTAAAGACAGCTACTAACCAACCAAGCTACATTTCTTGCTACAGAAAAGGGTCTCAGGAGACAATGAGTTGAACGAACTGTTTTAGCAGATAAGGCTAGAACTACAGCATGTAATTATCATGCTGCAAAATGACTATATTGATAGTTAACAAGGAAACTTTTCCCATGTTGAATTCAAAAAACAAAAAGCACCCTCCTCCTGTCCCTGCCTCAAGGGGAGTGGGGGAAAGAAGCAAGTCCATAATGTGGCACAGGGCACTAAAGTGAGATGAAGTCATCTCAATTCAAGCAGCAAGCTTTTTCCAGTCCTCTCAACCCCAATCAAGATGCACTGTTACGCAAACCCATACACGCTCACACAATTTGCTTTTTACAGTAACATGTCAGGTCATTTCATGTCAGGACACTCTCAGCTTCCCACGGAGGCCTCTGGAAAAGCACACTGCCATCTCTCAGACACTGCACCTGGTCTGGATCTTCCACAATCCCAGTTATCCACTAGCCGGTGGCAGATAATTCTTTTTTGCTTTAAAGGGGTAAGTGCTATGGTCAGTATGACAGACTACATTTGGGATCTGGACTAATAAATCACTGTGACAAGGTTGCAGGACTGCCATTCTGCATTTTGTCATCTTACAGGTTTTTCTTTGAAGAAATAAATAATGAAACTGCCTACTTATTTGGTGAAAAAACACTAACCTAAACTGCATTTTTCTTCATGCTTGAAATGTCCGAGTCTCAGCACACCAATGCATAAGAAGTATTATCATTTCAAGCGTATTCTAGAAGTCGGCACAAATGCCAATTCTGCAAAACTTTCCCAGTATAACCTTGTTTCAGACTGAGATGATTGTGTCCCAGAGTGACACAAATCCCTCACTGTCCCACATTTTAAAGACAGGAGAGACTACACTCTGTGTAATCATTCCTTAATTGTACACGAAAAGCTTACTGGAACAGAAAATCAGAAATGGGACCACACAATAGCAGCCTTTGCCTATCCTTTGAATAAACTCTGCTTTCCCATCTCTGACACAAGGATCCACAGGGCAGGGCTACTGTAACATGACCCCAAGTGGTCAGTGTCCACCTTTGCCAGTTACCCTGTCATTGCTGCCACCAAACCCTGATACTGTTTGGTCTTACGCTCCTGCAGTGCCTCACTGACGCTTAAGCGGCTCAGCAGCCAGCTCACTCACAACCTCCTGTGAGGTCACCCAAAACGCAATTTCAGAGCTGAGAACAATTTATATTGCTCAGTTACAGGCTACCAGATTGACTTTCCATTTCCACAATTGCACCTACAAAATCATAGGGTGCTATTCTGTTCAGAGTTCAAGCCAAGCAGGTTAGAAGAAAAACGGGTAAATGCCATGGCCAGACCTCACGCATCTGGCTCCTTTTCCGCCTCAGAAGGCACCAGCCAAACGCAGCCTGCCAGGCCCACAGCACAGGCTGACGATGGTGCAGCACCTGACAACCAGCTGCACCTGGTCCACGACTGCACGAGATTCCACTTCCCTGTCAAAAAGGTAGTTCAGATCTACAGATCCTCTGTGATGACCTGGCATTCACTTCAAGTAATATCCTCTTCCTTGTCCTATGTGCTAACTTAGCTCGAAAAGCACACAGGCCCATTGCCTCCAGTTACGCTTAGATGTGACTCCACTTAATGGAGCGTGGCTACTGCTGCGAAACAGTGATTCACGAGACGACCTCTAAAAACAAGAGCTGGGGCATTAGAGAAAGGATTGCCAACTAGTTGACAGAGTTTTCAATTACTCTGCTATTACACTGAGACACAGATAATGTAGCTGTAGCTTTAGAAAAAAGAAACACCTCCATTTGTGAAATGAAATAAACTGAGTACTGCCTAGGTTCGCTTTCAGATAGGGCACACAACCATTAGGTGATGAATGAAATTGCAAATGTTAATGCCTGATCTTGACAACCCAAGAACAAAGGGTGCCAGACAGTTAGAGCCACATAGGTGCAGTATGTCGTCGAGTTTACACTCGTGAAGTAATGAAGATCATTGTAAAACCACACCAGCAATAGAGCAGACACAGCTAGGATTCATACTGTTTGTTTGGAAAACAAAATTTACCACTCTCCTCAGCCCCTGATCAGTTATGCCTCATTTTTTGAGCACAGCAGATTTGTAAATATACTAGGTAGTTAGTGAATTGGAAATTTTACTTTAAAAAATTAGGTCCCAATTTCTTCACATTCAGACACATTCAAATCATTGTACAAGTCTTTCAAAGTTTCACCAAAACCTTGCATGCACACAAATTTTTAATTACCACTCTGTTGCCTATGTGGGAAAACCTAAGAAAGATAAGGTTAACTAACTGAAAATGTAAAGATCAACCAACAAACTTATTAAACACACAGAAACAAGCTTTCTTTTCATTAAAACCTGTTTGAAGCACTTGCATAGGCACCATATTCCAAGTTATATCAAGGTGTGCATTTCTGAGTTTCCATCACTACTCACAGAGATAATAGACGTATTTACTACGTATTGGTTCATCTTGTAATTTATAAGTGCCTTATTTTCATGATCTGACATCTCTGGACTGTAAAATAATATTAGAGTAGGCATACTCTCACATTATACAAACAAAGCACGCCCGCCAGTCTCCCAACAAGTAAACAACTGCTACTCCTGCAAATAATGGGCGCTCCTTTGTTTAAAAGACACGTTTTCATGGATATGCAGTTCTTGTATCCATAAAATTAACTGGACTAACAGTTATGAGAATTAATTACAGATGCTATAAAACTACAACACACAAGCTAGTGTAAAAGGTAGAAGTATTTGTGTAAAAGGTAGAAGTATTTTGTCTTTACGTATAATAACAAATGCCCTAATGAGATACTTAACACACAAGAAGTACATTTAGGAGAAATCTAAAAAAAGATCTGTTTATTTTCTATGTAGATATAGATGAATCCTGAGGATGATGTTCTTTACCCTTCTACGTTTACCCCAAAGCACATTGACACAGCAAAGAACAACACAGGATAAGACAGTTTGCTTAAGTTACATTCCCCTCTAGCAACTTGATATACAGATATTTGGTGAATCAACAGGAGCCAAAATACAGTTCAGGTTATTGCAGGCCATACATCAAAACAGAAATAGCCTAAAAAAGCTGCATCTTGATATTTCACCAGCAATTTTAACAGCATTTCTATTAATGAATGTTTCTATCAATTACAGATATGGAAAGTGCTGTTTAAACACAGTATGTATATTAAAAATTACAGAGAACAGCATGCTTTTTAAAATTTTTATTGAATGTAATATTTAAACAATTTAATAAACAGCTAAACCATAAAAGACTGTCTGTTCATGATGATTCCAATCTTCTTTTCCTCCATTTTTCCACATAGAAACTGAATGACTCCTATAAATAAAGTGGAATAAACAAGTTCAACATTGTTTCAACTGAAAAGTTACTAATTCTCAAAGTCTTATGTCCTGACAAAAGCAAAATCTATTATTCTCTGTCATGCAAAACCAGATCTGTATTAAAGTCTGCACAATTAAGAGAAATACCAGAAAGAGAGAGAATAAAAGGAAAATCTTGCCAAAAATGCAGAATAAAGCTCCTATTACAAAATGCAATAATACAATCCATTTCATTTTAAAAACGTAAATACTTTTTAACTGCAATCTGCAATTGTGTCAAAAAATGAGACACTTCTAAAGTCCAAGCTGCATTAGAGAAAAAAAATGAACAGGGAAATCAGAAAATGAGTCATTTCAGTGCCTTTGAAAAAACACTCTAATTTTCATTAGCTACATGTAAGAAACAGACATTCCAGGTTTTAAATTTACACAGTCCAAATAAAAATTCAGCTTATAAATTATGTCAAGATTACAGAAAAAAAAGCTCCACAGCTGTAAAAAGGCTAAAGCAAACATTTAATGCCAAAATTTTCTCCAATTCTTTACAAAATGAGAAAAGAAAATCACATTTATCTTGAATCAATACGGAGAAACACCATATAATCAGGTCTTTATAGACCTACAGAAAAACACTTATTTTAGAATACAAAAAGTGGCAAGAAAGTGTCAATAAAAAAAGTCTTTAAAGCCTGCTTCACTAAAAGGGTACTATCAGAGTATTAGGCAAAGGAATGATGTTACAGAAGTATTTACGGTCTTGACAGAATTAGTGTCATGCCACTTGTCACCCTCAAGTAAGATATATTTGCACAGTTGCATGTATCTGTTGGCAAGGCGGGTAGAAGTAAAGCTGTAACAGAAAAATAATTCCTACAGTTCTAAAATCCCATCCTACTAAAGGAGCAACTTGTACTAGATGTAAACTAGGTAATTAATGAAAACTAAAACCCATTAATTGTTAACAAAACACACAGTCTACAAGTCTTTTAAAGTTCAATTGCTTAGATGACTGCCCCAAGGATATTTGATAAAGGTGCACCTGTAGATGAGTGCCTGATAATATCGTAAGCCCCAAGAGGTTTTATTTCCTCAAGTCAAATCCAATGTGAGATTACTACAGCTCTTACAGCACTCAGTACTTCATACGCTGCCTCCTTTGAGGAGTCTCTGCAGAGATCTAATCCCTATGTAATTATTCATGCAATTTGTTTTATTAACATTGAACACACACAATTCCGCAGATCTATTTCTTAATTAGGAAATACTCACAGGGGGTTCAGTGAAAGGGACAGGCTCTCCTGATTTTTTCAGAAAAGCTGCTAAAGATTTCAGAGATAGCTCATGCAGCTGTATATTCTTCGCTTTTGCCTTCTCATATACAGCCTTTACAGAAGCAACATCCCCATCCGATTCTGCAGAAAAAAAAAAAACAAACCAAAAAATCCTCCAGTGGTTAAGTGTTCCTCTTTTCACCTCTTTCCACAGTGTCACATATCCTCACTATTTGCCAAAACACATTCTAAACATTTTAATATACAATATTACAAATATTCTGGATATTCTGCATTATCATACTGACAATTCACATAAGAGAACAGAACATACAGCCATTCTGGCTTCCCTCTTTATTTGATGTTGGACGACCAACTCCTTCAAGAATGTGCTGGAACTTCAAAGGACTGGGAGCAGCACAGTGAGAACACAACACTCTAGGATGTGAGATACAGAGATATATGCCTCTTTCTGAAGCAAATGATAAAAAATAAAAAGCTAGAACAAAGCCCAAGTTCAGCATGTAAGAAATCTAGAACAGAATTTAATTATTGTAACAGTTACAGGTGCTGGCTACATCATGACTGTAACCTAAAGGACCAAAGAAAACAAAGGTCAGATGCTCATTTTAGAACACAGGAAAAAAAATTCATCTTATTGAGCATGAGAAAAATTTTGCTGACCCACTAACACTATTACAAACCTTAACTGCTTAGGTAACGAATAACATTTTGATGGATATTCCATAAAAGGCACCACCCCCTGCAACAGGTTCTAACTAATCCATTGTTCATTTATTTGAAGCACTATTCACTTCTAGCTGTAGAAGGGTAGAGTATATTTCTCTTTCCACTAAAGTGGGAGAAGGAAGAAACTCCTCCTTCTACATTGACTCACACTTAACCATAGACTTTTCTGCTGCTCAATTGCTTGAGAAGCATCAGGACGAAATTAAAGTGATGCCTGACAGTTTCACTGTTGTCCTCAGGGTCCTAGAAACAGCGCAACAGTTCCTAGCACCTTGTGAACAACAAAGAGCCATCATGTCAAGCTCAATTCATTCGGCTGCTTAGGAAAACACAAACACTTGCAGTATGGGTGCTGTCTCGGGTTCTTCTTCACATTTGGAAACACCATCTTCACAACGATAGGGGCTACAAAAACAATGGTTCTTAAAGAAGAAAAGCTTTAATTATGCAGAAATGGATAACTTGTGTCCCTTTCTCACGAGAAAAAGCTTCCCACTCACATCTGGCAAGCGGCTGAGCTCCTTTTTTGAATGTAGGCAGCTACTGCAGAAGCTGCATGAAGTGATGGTTTAATGAAAGCCTAATAAAAAAAATTAACTTTCTATTTTCTTTTTAAATAGATGTATTTACTGTATGGAAAACAAAAAAAAGAGCTAATACATCCTTTTTCTGGCAGGCATACACCCAAAGGATTATGCATCTCACCAGATGAAGGAAATTATTCCTGGCAGTAGATCATATCTCAGGACAAGGAATGGAGTAAATGTCCCTTTATTTGTTCAGTCATGGATGCCTGATATATGATCAGACTTCTGTCAGCTGTGATGTACATTATACTGTATCTTTGCTAAACAGAAACCATTATAATTTTATTTGTCCATTTTGATAACTAGCACCAGTAACCAATTGCAGAATAGTACTCTGTTACCTTTCATTCCCCTTTCTAATTAAAAATAACAAAGGGCCTGAGAGGAGAATCATTTTTTCTCCAGAAAATTATGAGACTACAAGGTTGAACTTTGCCCAAAATGAGAAATCATGTTTTAAGCTTACTATTATTAACTCTTATTTCTAGCCCTCTTGGCTAGAACACAACCTACGCATGGCCTTCTAAATTTCCATTGTGCTAAATATTTTGCTGATGATCGTTTTAATAGCTAGATGAAACTAACATACTCACCACTGCCAAAAGTATCAAAAATGGAAGAGAAGGGATGAGGGGAAGAGGTAGCTAAATTGCTGTTCATGTGTACAGGTCTGTACATATTATACATGGTGGGGACAGAATATAGTAAATGCCCCTGAATATCCTGAGAGCAGGACACCACCTTACTTCCTGAAAACAGCAAGATGCAATAGGACATGCAAAGATAACCTAGTATGACTCATCTAGCTCAGCCCTAGTAAAATGGGTCAAGTACCCACTTCTACCAGTGTGCACTCTTCTACCTGATACAGGAGTGGAATTGACATCTCATACAGAAGAACCTGGGAATGGCTTTTAAAACTCTTCGTGGTGGCACTGAATGTCTCCTCTGGAACTTGCTGTGAGCCAGCTACATCTCTGCCTGAAGAAACTACAGTAATCACCTCTTCATGTACAGTGTGGCTTCCTCATGTACAGCATTAAATACACACTAACCACTGTTTTGGGTATAATAGAGCAAGTGTTTGATTCTCTGCGATCACTTTATAAAACTGTTGTACTAAAATGCAGTTAGAAAGGATATTGAAAAAATTAATCCGTTCACTTACAGAATTTTTACTGAGGTAAAAAGCAGTAAAAGGCTAATGATGGTGTAAAGCAGCAAGTACAGTGGTGGTAACAAAAGGGTGTTTTTTTGTTTTATAAAAAAATGTTAGAAAACTTACCCTACTGTGAATGAAACTATGGGGCTAAATTCTTTTGGTAATCATTGCTGCTTTGAACACTACCAAGCAAGTGAATTTTGTAAGTTACATACTACAACATGAGAACTTCTACAAGGTGATTCAAATACAGTGAAGTTTGTATTCCTTTAACACCATACCTTGGATTTGGGTTTGAAGGGGTTTATTTAATTATTCTTATTTATCTCCTCTGTGATAGATTGGAGCCCAAGGGCTTCTGTCATGATATCTTTTTGCTTGTAATACACATGTGAAGAGTATTTACTCCCTGTAATAAAACTGGAGGACCATATCAGAGTACACATGGCAAAGGATACTACAGAACAGAGATGTAAGCTTCCAACTGAGTGTTGCCATAGGGGTTATAAGTCCTCATTTTTCAAGAGTGCATGTTGCAAATAAACATATTTAAATAAGCAACTTAATTTTTTCATTTTCAGCTGTTCCTCTCTGCCTTCAACTGTAAAGAGAACTGATTTAGGTAAATCCAAATGAAGGCATCTAGAATATTAACTTTGACTAAACTAAAACAGGTGTATAGAATCTACACTAATAACAACAAGACCCTTGCACATTACTGATAGAACTAATCACTTATGATTTTGAAACACACACATAAAAGGAACCAATATACTTATTACATATTTTGGGGAAAGAAGCTAGATTCATTTTAAAAGCCATTCATTTCTACTGTATTTTTCTCCATAAGTTAGGATGGATTCTTTTTTATTCCACAAGGACCCTACTTAGCCTCTATTCTAGTAATACACTTCAATTTAATACAGCTCCTTTTGTAAAGGATTCAAGGCTTGGGTCAGCTGGTTGCTTTTCCAACCTAGTAACTAGGATACTATATAGACCCAACAGACTTAAACAACAAAAATTCCAGAAAAAAACCCCATCTCTTTGTGGCTCAAACTGTAAAGCAAGCTGCACTGTGTTGTAGTACTTTTGATCCTCGCTGGCAGCCAAACACCACAACAACTGCTCACTTACCCTCTCGGGGATGGGGAACTGTTGGCCAATTTGGGTCTCAATCCTAAACCTAAGGTCAAATCCTAGGCTCGCAACCGAGGCTGTGCTCCCTCCCAGCTTCTCCTGGACTTGCAGACACTGGCACAGCAGAGAAGCTGAAAAGTCCTTGACTGTCCTGGCAGCAACTATAAACATGAGTGTGTGACCAGCCCTCTCCTCAGCACCAATCAAAAACATAGCTTCTTACTAGCTACTACAAAGAAGGTTAACTCTGTTCTCAGCTGAAACCAGGACAAGTGTATATCCTACTCCCAATTTCTAAGGGTTGCCATGACCCTTTCTGAATGCCTCAAGAGTTCTAACTAAAAAAAACTATTCCAAGGAGCATGAATTACCGTAAGATCTCAGGAGGTAACGGTATCCAATTTCTGTATCTAGAAACTCAGGAATCAGTTCTAGAAGTGTCTCAATCTTCTTTGCCTATGAAATTTAATGCACAGACGAAAAAACCCATTAACTTCAAATCTTCAACAACAAAATAAAATTGACAAAGTTAGCATAATTATTTCAGATCTTTTAGGTGATATGAACTGAATGGATAACAAGGAATGGACTGTGCAACTGAAAGCAGAGAACTTCCTTCCCAAAATTTCATATGCAGGCAATAAATAGTCAAAGAAATTGGGCACAAAACAAAACAAACAAAATACAAGAATAAAACCCATACTAAAGCAGCCTAAACATTAGTTTCTCAATTTTTTTGAAGGAAGTAATTAATGTATTCATAAGAACATGTCAGGATTTCAACCAATTTAGAAAAAGTTGTAAACTACTCATCAGCCTTTACTGACCTAGAGGTCAGTGGCAGATATATTCAGTGCTTAAAAGAAGTCAGATCACTAACTAATGTGCTTAAATTTGGAACCTGCCTCCTCCTGATTCCAGTTTCAAAACCTCTCAGGTCTTGAGTTTAAAAAGCTTATAGAAACTAATAACATATTTATCATATGCTACTAAGTTTTACATGTTATTAAAAATTCAGCAAGAAAAGCCAGAAAATTTCAGGTTTTTAAACTTCTTCTAGATACCAAAAAATAGAGTTTATCATCATCATATTTCTCATCATCACTTCAACAGAATAACTTTTAACCCGTGAGTATTTAATGACCATTTCCACAAAACATAAACATGCATTTTCCATAATTCGAAAACTATTTATTCTAGTTTGTGTATTAACTGTCTCCTGATGCTGCTCATCTATGAAAAGAAATCAATGTGGTTTTGCATAGGTGTGTGTGTTTTGGGGTTTGTTTTGTTTTGTTTTGGTTTTTTTTTTGCTGTTGTTCAGTGTTGGGTTTTCGGGTGGTTTTTTTTTTTCTGGGTTATTTTTTTTGTTTGGTGGTTTTGTAGTTTTTCCTGTGTGTGTGGGTTTTTTTTTTTTTTGGGGGGGGGGGAGTGTTGGTTTGGTTTGTTTTTTTTTTTTGGGTTTTTTTTTCCTGATTTGAGGATGGCATATGAGGAAGGTGGGGCAGGAGTAGAACAGGCAGATAAATGAGTGCATTTCAAATTACAGCAAATGAGCACAAAGCCAGGAATCTAAACAGATGCTCAAACTAGATACACGCCCAAACCACCATAACAAGTAATATGAATTGTGTCCTTTAATGTAAACATAGAGGCATTTTATCACTAGAGAGAGGATGAGGTTTTAACTTGCATTTGTATTCATACAATGTAACCAACAAAATAAGTACTTTCAGGTTGTGATACTAAACTGGAGAGTACAGTAAAACATTTAAAGCACAACACAGGATATAACATATAACTTTAAAAAAAGCAGGAAACTACTGAAACGACAGAAGAATGCTAACTACAACCTCCTCTCCATCATGGTCCATAAAGTAAACTTTTCCTTTACACGTAACCAGCTCTGCAAATTAACCTCCCCCCTTCCCTGAGAATCCTTTTAAAGCTGTCAGCTGTGCAGTTCAAGATCCAAAACACTACAACAAAGGTCGATTAAGAAGGATTTTGCTACATATACAATCATATACATTAAAAAATATTATACCTGTCCAGGTTGAGATGCTGAGCGAGCCATAAAACTCACTAAAGTTCTCTTCTCCTCAACTAATGCACCACATCTCTAAAGAAAAATAAATAATTAATGTAGCAGTCATAAGTAGGTTAGTGATAAACAAAATGACTAAGGTGAAAATTTCAAATTTCAGACGTTTAAAATAGTATACTAATATATTACCTATTTACAAGGTAAATAATTGACCATTAGTGGGCAAAAAACCCCAGCACCACTGAACACAGGAAACAAGTTCTTTTCATGCACCGTTTTGGTAAACATTGTTTTTAAAATGGTAGGTATAAAGTTTGTTTAAAACAAAAGTGGAAGGTTTTAAACTAATACTTCAACACACCACAAAAACGAGGTTTAAGACTGCAAAAGAATGAAAAAGAGAAACACTATTCCTCTCCAATTATACTGCCAAGCATTCACAAGTGAGCTAGGGATCATAAGGTTAATTATACATTTAATAAGGTGTCAGGGAGATAACTGCTCGTTTCTTTATAAAAATTAAAATGTACAAAGCAAGTTCTCTTTAAAGTATAATTACCTACACTTACGCATACAAAGGACTGATTTCAATCTCTCTATTTTATAAAAGCCTTTCACTGCAACAGACAGTATTTGAGAGAGAAGCTGAACTTAAAAAAAAGTTTGAGACAGACCAGATAAATCAAAAATCCATCTTTCTTCAGAAACAAGGGCAAAATAAAACACACAAGACAATACTGTAGTGTATGTTCCTCAAATGTGTCAGTCTTAAAATGCACAGTGCTTTTATCAGCTGTAAGATATTTTATCAGTACCAAAAAGCACAGTAGGAAGAGAATATTGTGCACACAAAGCCACACATACCATGAATTTACTACATTCAACTAGTATTTTAGATATATGCAAACAAGAAATTTTGGGTTATGGCATTATGAATGTACTGTATGTGTAATATGGTTTGACAAGCTCTTTAAGGTCCAGGTGAACAGGTGTGAAGCCTCCTTCCATGAGGCAAACTGAGACAAAAATGTACCCGCAATGTTCTGACAAAAATTTCCTTTATGGTGATAAACAGAGGCAAAATATTCGTGTGAGAAACTTGCAACATTTTATTTACTGATTCTAGCCATTCTCATCTACTGTCAGTAAAAGAAACAAGGATGCTCTGAGAGGAAAGAGAAAGTCTAGTTGGAGAAATGTTTTCCTCAGCCCCCTTTCGTGCTGAAATACCAAACCACTTTTGACTTCCATCACTAAAAGCCTTCTTCCTCCAGACAGTACAACAAACACTGTTGCTGTTTCTTGAACTTTTAAACAGACTCTTAGATGCATTTTTGAGAGCAGGGATTCTCCAGGTGCACAGTAATACTCGGATTATTACAAGCAAAATAATTCATTCATATTGTGGTTTCTTTACAAGAAAATAACAAACAATGGACAGTGATTATTACCATTACTATCTATTAGTAGAATACTCGATCCACAATACCAGTCAAGAATGTTTAACACAACTGAAAGTTTTTCCTGCACCATATAAAAAACCCCACATTTTCTCATATACACAGAAGTTTCTACTCAAGCTTATCTGTGAATGTCCACTTAACATTAAATATTTTAAAATTCTGCCCAAAATATAGAGTATACAACATTACTTCAAGTATGCTATAGAGCCATTAATTTAACTCCAACAGTTGGATGCTGTTGTAATAACAAGTTTTAGGAATTTATGAATGGAAATTATTCCACGTTTTGAAAAATTTTAAGAACATGCAGATTTTACTTACAAATACAAAACCCCCAACCTTCACAAAAGCAAGAAATGGTAACTGCTTTTCATTCACTCATTCAATTTCATTAATTTCAATCAAAGAGCAATCAAAAAAACCAGGAAGAGTAAAATAGCTTGAGATTGTTCTGAATTTTGATGTTTCATGCTATACAGCAAGAGGATTTTATATGTTTTATATAAAAACTGTAGTCTCCTCTTAATTTAATACTCAGATGACTAGTTAGGCAAAGCAATAAACAAAGTAATATTCCAGAGCAGGGATTACACAAGTAATACACCCCACACTGTAGAAGTAGCTGAACATATTTGTTAGCATGAATTCTTCGCAGAAAATGGTCTTGGAATATCTTAAAACATCTGATGGATGAAGCAGAGCTTTTTCTTTAACAGCTTAAAATACTTAGGAACTGGTAAATAAGAAGTATACACTACCAGGAGATGGTAAGAGGTCCCAGTTTGAGGCAGCAGCTTAAGACTACCGACCAGCCTGCAGAATCAGTGTGGCTGCTGGACTGCCACCTGCTGGGATGAGCCTCCCTGAGGAAGCCTGTCTGTGTGTGCTGCCAGCAGCAGCTCCCATCATCACCCACAGTTCATCCCACCTCTGGCTTGGCTTTGTCTTTAGCTCTGCACAAATGGCATGAATGCAGCTGACTCCTTCCTTGAAGATTGCTAACTCAGCTGAGACTGTGGCCCAGAGACCAGTACTTGTCTTTTAATGCATCTCTGACACACAAGTGAATAGCAAGCAAATTCAGCTCTTAATAAACCTTGAATATGGCAACCAGCAACAGCAACCCAGTGAAATAAGGTCCATAAAAAGCAAACGTTGCTGGCTTCTGGTTCGCAAACTGTACACGTCTAAGATATTACTATGTTTACAGCACTTAAGAAATTATGTGAGAAGATACAACGAGATAGTTTGCAAGAAGTAACTGCTATAGGAGAAAACTTATAAAAGAGTATTTGCTTTGGATGAAATTTCAAGCAATATACAAGTCCTCCTTTATTTCCTTCATGTTGGTAGAAGACAAAAAAACCTTCTGACTCTGGCACCCACTACTACTATTAGTATGAGAGTACTAGCTCACGTTTTAGAACAGTCTAAACTGTGCTACTGCTACTCACACTAATTCAAAAGCATACCAGTACTAGCCTATGCTATATAACACCACTTTTTGACAATTTCTCAGTTAACCTTTCAAGAGCTCTAAGCATTTCTGTACGTCTCCTGTTATGTCATTACCTGTATCAGCGATCTGGCATCATCCACTCTGTCTGCACTGACATATTGAAGGAAAAGATCTGTGACAGGTCTGTAAATTCCAAACTGACTGGCCAGTCGTTCTGCCATCACACCAACTGCAAAATGAGGGGTACATACGGAAAAAGCTTTGATTGAAAAGCCACTTTTGTAAACTTCACTGGCATGTTTTATGCTGACTGAGCAGGTTTTACATGTAATAGCTCTTTCATAACACTTCTGTCTAGTCAGAATATTTAAATATCATTGTAATTAACTTACATTTTTCCAAAGCTTTTTCTAATCCTTCCTCAGACACCTTTCTTAACAAATAGGAAATATTTCTGACAGCTTGATCAGGATTCTGTGCACCAGAGATAAGCAGAGGCTCAAGGTATTCCACAGCAGCATCAAGGTCATTGCTAGGAAAAGAGATTGAACTGGCTTAGTTTCCGAAATCAAGATTTCTAACCCTAAAGAAGCAATTATATTAAAGCTTGTTTTATACATTAAAGGTCATATTTCCCAGCAATGGCTGAGTACCTACAACTTTATTCAGATATTGTAAAAGTGAAACCATTTATGACTAAGTTATCCTGTTGGTAAAATTTTTAATGACCTTTGACCTGTACAAAGCTCAAGTAATTTTGACATACTTTTTTCCTCATTAAGAAAAAAGAGTTCAGCTAGCTGCTTTAGGAAAATGTGTTCTGCAAATCTAGAAGGCAAAATCAAAACATTAACGGAAGGCATCTGAATAATTAATGAATGCAACTCAAGTATTTTGTTTAATGCTATTCAATGAATTATTTACCTGATTTTTCCCATGCCTGCCTTTCTGGATGCAAAAGACAATACTCAATGTCATTTGGTCAGTACCTTTGTCTAAACACTTTTAATCTCATGGCCCAAGTATACTAAATGCTTATAAAATAACGCAGGATGTATTCATCAAAGTATAAACTTTGCTTGTAGCATTCTAAAAATTTTAAATGACATCTCTTATCAGTACACTCTAAAAAGTAATTTAATTGAGAAGAAATGGGAGCACGATGAATGCTTTTAGGTGAAGCAGAAACACAACATACTTGAAAGCTATGAAAAATCCTTTGACAACTATATCAGAAACATGAATCTATCAATAAATGAACAGGTATAAAAATATAACAATCTGTTTTTCATAGTTCTCAAGGTACGGTTTGCAAGGTATTTAAGAATATATAAGCTGCATACTATTTTTGCTGCTGCTAAGTGTTCTTTTACATCCACGCTAGTTTTAGTACCGTAAAAGAAAAGTTCATGCTGCTTAAATAACCTGTGCCTGCATACAGCAATTTATTTATTTATTTATTCTTGTCACCAGTGTACATCTTAAGAACATGGTATGACTTTGCAACACTTTTATGACATGGAAAACACATGAAAATATGCAGCTTATGAGACAAATCATGAAGTCTCTCTCCTATTTACTGTGTTTAATTTAGGCAAAAGTCAATGCACTAGAACTGTGTGCCAAAGGATCACTCAGATCTAAGTATTTACAGGATCAGTCTTTTACAGACATTGTTTTTCAGTGGCTGAAAACACAGTGAGCTCACTACTGGAACTGGCCTGCACGGTTCTTCAATTCAAGTCTTCTTGCTGTTCCAAACCCTTCAGTGACTCTTCTCTCTGGACTGACATGTCTGAGGCAATCAGGTATCTGTTCTGTACTACACAGTTCTACAGCTTTCCTGCCAAGTTAGACACAGGAGCTCTACATGATGAAACTGGTTTGAAATAAAATAACAAAATACGTAGGATTCCTGAAGACTGGTTCCTGGAAAGCATATTTGAGAAGTTCATAGTATACCCTTTCTCCCAGAAGTGCTTCCCCCATGCAGTTTTATTCAAAGGATAAACTAGCACAGTACTAACGTATCAACTAAAACAGAAATGCCAAGCATTGATACTGAATTAAACAGTTGAATCAAAGGATACTCAAAGTGTGGGGATAATTATCATGATCAAAACCATGGCCTAAAACAGTACAGTAGACAATTTTTTACAATTCTGACCACAAAAGAATATAAAACCACTCCACAGATATGTGTCTAGCTTTCACATTTTGAGGGTAAACACAATAATATTTTGTCATTTCAAGTACTGGAACAGGTAGCAGATTTCTGTTTCCAAACAAGTATTATATGCATAATCATTGTTAAATTCCAAGACTTTTTACATTTACATTGATGAAGTAGCTAATTAAATTTTACATTCAGATTTCACAGGGCTTTTGATCTAACACCACGGAGAAGACCCTACATGAGATGTAATACATTAGAACAAAGGAATCAAAGCCAAATTACACCACCAGTGAAGACCTTATGCTCTACCAAATGCTTCATAGCTATCCCTGTATTTCATTAAATGATTTTCAACCCCAGAAGTGTTTGGGAAACAATACAGGAACAGAACTGAACAGCGCACTGCTCAGCTCGACCAGAATTTTAGTATCTAGGACACTGTAAACACAGAAACAGAATTAAATGGATAATGCAAGTGATTTCCCACCACTCTGCATGAAATAATTACACATACCAGTCCTAGAAACACTTACTTCTTAGTATGAGCCAATGCAATAGCATTAGCGAGTAGTGAGGCAGATAGATCAACTGATTTTGTGATGTCTTCCAGCATGTTTTTAAGTGCTTGCAGGTTCTTTAGATCTCCTTTTTCCGCCAGAGCCTGAACGAGCACAATAACTGCTGATCTAGTAGGCAAGAAGCCGCTGTCAAGCACTCCTTTTAAAACAGCCATGGCATCTAATGATGGTAAAGAAATACGGGAAAAGGAAATACTATTTTAGTTGAGAAGGCAACCATGCTGTTGGTATCATTAACCCTACTCTTTTAAAAACATGTACATAAAATAATTCTCTTGCTGAACTTAAGCCCCAAAATTGCTATAGTGAATTATAAGCAGAATATATACATGCAAAAATAAGAACTTTCAACAGTAATTCAGGTTTAAATGCTTTAATATTTGCTCAATAAAAAGTATTAAGATACTTTTAACACTTATTTTAGTATCCAGTTCAAGGAAAGCAGTTGGGTCATAAATGTCCTCCCTTATGACCTTAAAGTCACGACCTTGTTTTTTCTCCAAAGTATAAGCAATTTTCATCACTAAAAGCCAAAAATGTTGCATACTTAAGAATATGGATAGTTTAAAAATGTATTGCTAAAGTCCAGTATTCAGATTTGTCTTTTTAAGAATGCACCAAAACTTTGTTTACCAACATTTGATTTCTAAATAAAAACACGGGACACAAGTGTCCATACAAGAACAAAAATAAACTCAAAACTGGGCAGTTACCGCAAGAACTCCTAAAATTATAGCAATTACCTATGTTAAAAGCACACAAAATCAGTCTCCTGTCTGTCTGCCACAAATTACCCAAATCCACCACAGATGCAGTAACCTTCATTTCTCTAACCAGAATTCTTGTCAATTTACATTATACATGAACAAACACACACAGAAAGACAAGCCCCTCTGGTAAAAATCTTACTCCTTACCAGCACAGGCAGGATTAATCACAGTTAGTAATTATAATACCAAGGGATAACACTAACATAATATAAACCCACTTGAACTCCACAGCATTAACATTCCAACTCAATATGCAGGTACTACAGAAATCAAATATTACCTTTTACAAAAGAGGCAGAAAAAACATCCTGTATGTCTAACCTTCCTTCACAGCAAATTTTCTTTATGCACCCCTCTCTCCTTTTTTTTTTTTTTCCCCTTTTCTTTTTAGGGGAAAGAAGGAGCAATACATAAGGGGCAATATTCCCAAAATTTAAAAAGCAAACTTAAAACACATGCTAAATTAAAATTATCTCATAAGTGTGGACCTCCCTTTAGCATGGAGCATGACCAGCCTTCTCAAGAACAAGGACAGAGAAAGATTAGAAAGTTGCATGTGTGCAGCACTACCGCAAGAAATTATGTACGAGAAGCACAGTAGATAATTTTGCTGGTATCTTTTTTATTATGTAGGAGCACTCATTACTACTAATCTGAATTAATAATTTAATCCCTTGATCTTTCAGTACTTAAAAGCAGGTAACTAAGTGCTTGTGAAAATTGACCATTTATCTTTTAAAAGGCTTTCCTGTAAACTCTGTAAATTCCATACGGTGAAACTCAAGTTCTGACTCTTAAAGTAACCTGGGTTTTACCAAGTTTTTGCTAGATGATGTTAGAGCTCTCACAAGTATACTTAGGGACCTACATACAAACTTTTAACCATACCACGTTACACAGCAAAGAATGGCGGTGAACTATATGAGTAAATGACAAAGCAACCAAGTTTTACATAAGTGAAAGCCATCACAAGATGTAGGTCAAATGGAACTTGCCACCGAAAGATTACAAAAAGACTGTGCCCAAAATTTTTTTGGGGTAATCTATGAGCCTCAGAAAATGACCAGTATCATTGGAATATTTAGTAGTTTGCATTTTTAATGCTTCACTTACAAGAAGAGAAGTAGTATCTTTCAAACTAAAATAGAAACAAGGATCAAGTCTAACTATTAAATTAAATTACCAAAGTAAAGCTTGTTCAACGCACAAGATAAAGGAAAACATAATTTTGGAAATCAATGTAATTCCACAGACTTCTTGAGAAACTTTGGACTGTGCAAGAAGAAATATTTTTAGAGTACTGCAAGGGAGAGCATTGAAATGGCAGAGAATTTAGTGTGCTAGCTAAAAAGAAATCATGTATTAGCACAAGAGATTGGCAGAACACAGAAACATCAGTGATGCTCTGAGGAAGGGAAGATTTTTTTGCTGTGTAACATTTAAGAACTGACAAAACTTCATAGCACACTGGGCAAGACAAAGCAGAAAATTTATTATAATGAAATCAGACAGGAAAGTCAGGTGAAGGCCTTGAAAGCTGGAAAAACTTAAGACTTGACAAGAGCAAGAGAAACAATTGCATTCACCACAGATATTTCAGTTGAGGACACCTGGCAATGACATCAGACTGGAGACTGAATGGGGAAAGAATTTGAAAGACGACAAGTTTATCAGCTGCTGGAAAGAGTACAAGTGAGCAGATGCATCTCAATGCTCATCTTAAAGTATTTTAATGTAGTTCATGTTACATGGGTATGGGTTACTACAGCTACTCATAATGAAATAAAATTAACTGATGGTAAAATCAAAAATGGATTTTTTGGGTATGCCTTCCTGTATGAAAGTAAAACCCAATTCAGTGTAATACATTTTCTTCGTATGTAGCTGCTTTAACGCTTAAAGGTACTGATGAAAATACGTATTAACATGTACTTACACTTGCATAGGGATAAAAGACACAGCACAGCATGTAAAACTATGTGCTTGATGTTTTCCTCTCTCACAACAGTTCTACAGAACAGCTAAATAACTAAAATGTAACACTGTGGAGCTAAACTGTAGGCAGCAAAACAACCAATGCCAAGAATTAAAACAACACAGCTGTAAACTTTATCCACCATCTTGTTGGGCACACTTTCATACTCTTCAGCCACCATTTTATTTTCTATCATCATTGTTACATTGAAAAGAAAACCAAACTGAGTATTTTGCTACTGTTGATATTGAGAACTATTAAAAAGTATTTGATTAAGTTTTTAAATCAATATTATAATCATTTTGTGCACAATCATGCACATTTAACAGTCAATTTAACTCATCTGGTATCTCACACAGCCAACACAATATGCAAGAAACAACTGCTGGGAATTGTTTCAGATGCTCTAAAGTATGTTAATTTCCAAAGCAAAATGACTTGTGCTGTGAATTTTAACACACTTGAAAGCCTGTAGTTTTTCTCATTCTGGAGCACAAATTTTGCATGTCTGAAGAGCTGTGATTCATCTTAAGAAAACCCATCTTGTGTTAAATGGAATGGAAACTGGACTAAGTGGTCAAATGACAAGTACATTCATATTCAAGCTGTATTATAAATGCATGTACAGTAATTTACGTCTCTCAGCTACCACAAAAGGCTCTTGATAAGCAGGTAATTTGCTAAATGGACTCCTTTATCCAAGTATTCGAAGGGCGTTACAAGAAAAATCTGCAGAGGCATTAATGTGACGTAAAGGTCAAGCATTGTGACATACCTTTCAAATAATCCCGCCTAACTTGCGATATGATGAGGAGGCTGCTGGCAGCACTGTTCAGTGTGAAGCCCTTGATGTGGGTCTCAGCACTAAAAGAAGCAGACATTTAGAAAGGAATTACTGACATGCTTCTGATACGATAATAAATGGTTGAGCACCAAGGTGAAATTATAAAAACTACTGTTCATATGTTAAAAATATTGCTGCAAAATATCGACCTGGAGACAGCTTTTGTGTTATCCTGTCAATGGTTATAGAAGGATAATTTTTTTTGCATTCTGACAGATGACAAAGTTGGAAGTGAGCAACAAAAGAAACAAAGTACAAGATTTTTTTTAAACAATCAGTTCAGAGATTCTTGAATGCTGACATATTAGATGACTAAAATAACTGCATGCCCTGCATTGTTCTGTTGTATCCTAAGCTGGATACTTTTTCTTCTTTTTTCAATAGTCACCATAATTATAAAATGTAAAACTATTCTTTCAGCAATAAAAATGAAACATTTATTTTCAGCACTGTATATTTTAAACATAAACTAAAGCATATTATGAACTAACACCATATCATTTGGCTGATTAATTTTCAAATTTCTGTCATCTAGATGTATACAGGTTTTAAAGTGAACATACTACATTTGCTGCCTTAGCCATGTAAAAATTGTATTTCACTTATCATTTACCTCCTGTAATACAAATTTTCACATATCTATAGCAAAGAGAATCTTTATTTTAATAACACTGCTAAAGCTTTTCTAACACTCTGGAAATTAGGCAAGAGAGACTAAGCAGCAATTACATTGATCTTGTAATACAAAATGTTCCAGTTCCCAAATGACATATAGCCACATTTTTAATATAGAAGAATAACTTTACAAATGTTCATTTCTAGATTACAAAATCTCTACACAGAAAAGGGGGGCACTGCCATTTACCATATCAGCAATCAAGATAAACCTCACTGATCATCTTGTGGCAAACAACTGAGCAGCCTACCTACTTGAACTTAGAGGCTGAGCGGATTGGGAGGTAAGCAGGGTCATTGCTAAATTATTCTCCTCAATCCCAAGAAAATCCTTCACATCGCACACAATATGACTATCCTCTCAGTCACTTTCAGCCTCCCAGGCTCACAAATACAGTCACTGGCCTCGGGATTTTCTTACTCTCCCAACCAATCCTCTTAATCCCTGCCTAAGCACCCACTGCTCAGTTCCGCCTCTTTTTTTCCCCCCTCTTTGTCCCATCTGTCAAAGCCCTAAAGTCAACAATTCATGCATGAGACTGTAAATTATATATAACAAAGGATTTACTTTCTCCAATCTTCCAGTCTTTAGTGTGATTAAATAGATGTTAGCTACTATTACAGAACTAATCCATCATTCCAATACTCCTATATTTCTATTTAAAACTTCTTGGACTAAATGCAGTAAATATTCCTCAAAACAGTGCTAGAATGCCAAAGCAACTGGACTGCCGTTGATCAGCAGATCAGTAATCTTCTGGGTTGTTTGGGTTTTGGTTTTTTTTTTGTTTTTTTTTTTTTTTTTTTAAATGCAAATGAAATTTCCTGCTATCACATCATTTTTCTCATGGAAGTTTCTTAGTTCTGATAACAGAAAAAGTTTTAAAATTATCTGACCTTTTTAAATTAAAAAAAAATTACTTATTTTGTTGCCTATGCTAATACTCATACTAAGGCTGTCTAAATATTATTTAAATTCCAAATTTGTCTTCAAGTAGAGTAAAACGAAAAAGATGTTAGTTTACATAAATGAAGGTAGCTTTCCTGTATTTTATGAAAATACGAGGAGTTGCACAAGTTTCAGGCCACTGCACACATTCAGGCGTTGTAAGAGCAATCTCTTTGTAATATAATGTTGGAAAAATTGTCAAGCACGCAGGAATGTGTCCAAAACACAATTTGCTATTCCTTAACCATGTATACACACCATGTGTACACACACAACTACTTTCTCTGTTTCAGCTAAGAATTTAAAACTTAGAGATTTTTGAAAATGCTTAATGTAAGTATGATTCTGTTAGTAGAAAACAGATACACAGATAAACACCATCAACACTGCCAATATGAAGCATTTTCTGTCTTCATGCAACAGGGAGCTGTTACAAGCTTCTTAGAATGTCATTATTTGGCACTTCTATGCTACAAAATGGAATATGGGAGCTCTGAAAAGCACAGGGGTTATTATGATGTCTGGCTTTGACCACTGACCGAGAACAGACCCTCTTCTTAAAAATCCATTTTCTTTTTTCCTAAATATGTCAAGGTTCAGAGGTTTAGTCCTTTAAAACACACTGCCAACTCTTTTAGTCTTTACATTTTTTTGGTTTTTTCCTGTATTTTGGATTTACATACTAGAACACTTATCTAAAGTGAGAATTCTGAATCATCGAAACACTAGGAACAAGCCACCACCTTATTTCTGCTCTTCCAATCTGCAAATTTCTGCAGATACCATGCAATACCTTGTGCACCTTCCCTACAAGTGTGTTTGAGCTGCAGAGCAGGAAAGCAGTCAATGCACACACAAGTGTTCAGTAGAAAGTTTAAAACCTAATCAACAATCTTATCAATATTCTTTGTACTTCTAAAACATGTCCTTTCCATCTTCTATTTACAAAGATTTATCAATTTCTTCCATTTCAGGGTGCTTATTTTGATAAACTGTTTTAGTTCTTCCTTGACATAAGCCATATATCCATCAAGCACAAACATTCCTTATTAGAAAGTCCAGTTACTGAGACCTGTTTAAAAAAACATTACTTATTCTTCTGAATGTAGAACTCACATACTTTTTCAATGGAAGACATTTCTTCAGTCTAAACACTTTTAAAGAAAACATGAAAAAAATAAACATCATCTTATACTATATTGTTCCTGGGCACCAAAAACCAAATTGCCTCTAAAAATTATTAGTTTTTACAGTGCCCTCTGCACCATGTAAGTGAAAGACAAGGCACTTTCAAATTCACTGTATTCAGAGAACACACTTGATGACAACCACAGGTCTTGTTTTAGCTGAAGAAACTGAAAGACTTACAATTAATTTTCTTTTTCTTCTTACCTCTTCATTGGTGAGTAGCAACACTTTTACTTTGAAGCCTCTAATGTGACCAGAGCACATATTACAGGCAATAATTAAATCAAGTGGCATACCATACATTGCACTAAAGGTTATTTTGATTCTAGTGATTCTAATAATGCATGACAGTACGCTGGATTTATTTCAGAAGTGTAAGAGTTGGATCTAAGGTTTATGGTCATCTCCTACCCACTGGCATCACAGTCAAATGTACCATTTTGCATTTGGCAGGCAGCCAGCTGCCAGGGAGTGTAGGTGGGCTAGGACAGCAGCAGGGATCTGCACTGAGGAAAAGGCTCATGGGCAGTGAAGTAAAGGAATCTTGTCTGTTTGGATATTGCTCTAAAGAGGAAAAGGCAGACTGCCAGAAGGGTAGATTTTCAGTTCTGATGCCAAGTACATCTGTTGATACTGTTAGTTGAAATGAGTTATTAAGCAACACATACTGTCACTATGGTATCTTTTTAATATATGGTATACCACTCCATGAAACACTGGTGTATTTCTTACCATCGTTCCTAATTACCAGTCATGACCTGTTTTCCCATAAGGACTTGCCTGAAAATGATGCAGAAATTATTTAAAAACAGCCCCCACTAAACAATTAAAAACCTCCAAACACAGAAAAGCCTTACATGTGTTTCACTTCAATGGCTTCATCAAGACAATCTTGTGTTAATAAAGCTTTTATAAGGTTGTCATAAGAACGATGATGAAACTCCTCCTTCCTTTGCATTTTTAGGAAAATATTGTAGGCCTCTAAAAAAGAAAAAAAAAAGCCAAAATGAAATGTCACACTGCAACGTGTTCATTGTAGAAAGAAGTCACGTATTCATTGAAAAGGTCCACCTTAAATCTATTTATCCTCTGCTTGAGCCCAAAGACATTGGTCATGGCTTGTTCAAAACTGCTTGTAAACAACAATCAACTGACACATACCTCCACAGAACAAAAAGTTTGCTACTGCTGTTTTTCCTGTATGTGGCTGTTGCTTAAATACCAACACAGCCGGTTAAAAGGGAAAGACTCAGGATTTTTAAAGCAACACCTAATTCTGGGGTATATAGTTACAGTGTCTGGTGCATGATCACAACAGCATTTAAAAAATAATATAGGAGGTGATTCCAATATGGGGAGATCAAATTATTTGGTTACGACAAGATTTATACAAAACATACAATTTACAAATATACAGATATTTAACAAGCAAACTACGCTGCATTTGTTTGACTGATTAACAGTTTTATTTCATGCATTCACAATAACTGTCAGTGTATGAAAAGATGTTACCAAAAAGGGGGAAAAAATGATAAGCACACTTTTCAGTCATTTATTTTTCTGAAACAAGATTATGCAGCTACAAACATGCAGCTAAAACTCCTACCCAGGCTGTAACATAGCTCTATAGCATAGGTTAAGAACCACAAATGATCTTTCACATCTAAACTGTGATTGCATGTTTCATTTAATGAAACTCAAAAGATAATTCCTTTGCTAATTCAAATCACAGTCACAAAAATCTTTAAAACTTTTCAGAAACACATGGACTAGCACTATAGATTTCACAGCTAAGCATTAAGTTCAACTTTTTTTTCCTTACACTTTTAAAAGTAAAGATGAAGACAACTCATTTGAATCTTACTGTCCCGGGAAGTGTCACACTAATAGCACTTACTACAGAGTGCTACAGAATTTTAAGCTGGCATTCCCCAATCCAAAACTGGTGGTGTGCTTTTTGGTGTGAATCTTAAACTTCTTCAAACAAAGAATATACATAAAAACCTCCTGAAATGTAGGCACAAAAATGACTATGTATAAAATTTATTATTTACAACACATAAATCCTTACACTGAGTTAATAATTAAAATTAATGTTGCCATCCATAATCTACTTTGGATGCCTGGAGCTACATTAAATATATATATATTAGATAAAGGAAAAGAATATCACAGTAAAAATTAAATCCACTTCCGTGTAACGTGAGTTTCATGTATACAAGAGAGATAGAGACACACCAGAGAGACAGACAATGTGACTGACGTCTGACATTACAACAGTGACTGCATTGTCAACCAAAAGACCAATAAAACAACAACAGGATGACACAGGAAAGGTCTTGAAATCCTCTACCACACCTATTTATAGGCATGAGGTTAAAGCTTGGCCTGTTGCAATAAGCTGAGTTCTCTTGCCTGCTCAGATGCTGAACACCAGCATTCATAGAGTGTTCACACTTAAATTCAGTGGGAAAGACATTTGTTCTTCCACTTTTCTGAAATCTGAGGTACCAGTAGACTAAAAATCACATTCAACAAGAAAAACCCTTTCCAGTTTAATTTACTACGAGTGTAACTCTTTAATAAAAACATGAACAAAACGCAGCTGACGGGTGATAGGTTTGTTCCTTCCGCTTGTAAAAGCCCATTTCAATTCTATTTTTTAAAGCAAAAAACTCCTTATGTTTGGAGACTCCTACAAAAGCTCTGCTGACTTCAGACTGAGCTAGGTTTTCACCCTGTGTTTGAATATTGCTTTCCATTGGTGGGGTACAGAAATGGACATTGCCACCAGTGGACATGATGTAAAGCATATGTTACAATCAATTATCAGAGCCCACAAAATATAAGATCTATTTCTACAGGGACATATATTTAAATCTTTTTGTAATGATTAGTTCAATGAAGAACTGAAGCAGAATATCAGCAGGTAACATTATCATGAAGCTTTCTTAACATACTAGTAAACCAAGAAAAGGGAGCAGTAAGCATCTGTTGCTCTGTAGTTAATAGAAATCTTAAAATTAATGCTGAAGGGGGAAAAAACCCAATGGTTTTCAGTTTACCTTTTGCATTGCTTTTCTTGCAAAGCATCCTTATTTTTCTTTCTTCCACATTAGAAGCACTTAAACTTTGGGTATCTTCGTGTCTAACCTTTGAAACAAAGCAACTTCAATAAGTTACTGTAATGCTATCTGTTAACACTTTTCAATGGAAATAAATGTATTCAAAAGTAATGTTAGCTAGGAAAGTTAAGCTCCAGTTACCTTAGGTACCTCAAATGGAACAACCTGGCCATTTTTCTCAAGTATATCAGCCAATAAGGTTAGAGTTTTCCCACGAGGAACAACATTTTCCTCTTGCATTTTAGTCCAAACAGCTTCAGCCTTTCTCCAGTCACCATTGTTCTCTGAAACAAGATTCAAATGTTCACATAAAAGTACATGTACAGTACACATACATATCTAAAATGATTCAAAAAAAAGGTATCTTTAGAAAATAATTAATCAATTAATCATGTATTTCTGCTTCATATGATTATCAACTTGAAAAGTTCTAAACTACTTTTAATACACAGATGATACCAGAAGATACCAGACAGAAAAAAACCTAAAAGGATCATATGAATTTTCAAACGAATGAGAAATCAACTCAGAAATATTGCAGAGGTGTTCTTCCTAGCTCACCAGTTCTAATATTCCTGATTGTTAATTGTAAAAACAATTACAAAAATTTCAAAATTATTACAAAACGTTAACACCCTAAGGTACCACTTCCAAGTTCTATTCTGAAATTCTCAAAATCCTCTGGTTATGCTGCTACTGAGTTAGAGCACCTACATCCCAGAAGTTTACCACTTTCAAGTCAAAGAAGTGTTCTAGGCCTTCGGGCTCTTATTTTACTAAGAAAAAAAGTGCATACATGAAGACTGTAAAATGTTTAAGTTTTCTGAAAGGGAAAAAGCTTAATAATTCACAGATTAATTCAACTCTTTCAACAAGAATAGCAATTTATACAAGTACCACTGTACAGAACCATAAACAGAACGCTGGACTTTGTGAAAGAAAACAGTTAACTACTCTTTAAGTAAATACAGCCGGTGGTTTTCAGTGTCTCCTATCCTAAGTCACTAGAACAGCATTGACTTCTTGCTGTAGGTGCTATTCACAGCTACCCAAGACCAACATCTGCTAGCTGTAATCTGTTCATTCCATGGCTTAATTCAGAATCCCAGAAACGAAGAGATGCAAGGCAAGAAGGCAGAGTCAGAAGGTAGATGATGGAATTAATAGTTCAGTTGTCAATATTTCAGTCTGTAGCAGCAGCTCTTCAGCTATTCTTCCACTGTTTGGTTAAGGAACTTAAGCTGTTGTATAGCTCAGGCTCCACTGGACTAAGTCATAACACAAGGAAAAGCTGGAGCAGCCACCTGGAAGCAGCGTGACACATTTGGATATTCTTTAGAATTGCTATAAAGTTGATGTTTCACAGCAGTATATATTGCTTTGCAAACAACATTGCAATGTAATATTGAAACATTACAGTGCAATGTTCTCTTCAGGAGCAGCACTGGTTTAAGAAAACACATGGATATGTAACTGGGCTGGTTCAAGATCCAAGCCCACTTTCGATAAAGTTCTGGCATCACTTCAGCTTTTCAGAAGAGGCAACAAGCTTGGTGACTGCCTTAAGTCAAATAAAATAATAGGTTTTAAGGACTAATACCGCAGATAACATTTTAATGCAGATTATTACGGCAGTTAACAGAGCAGGACAGAGAACGCCTTAACACTTGTGAGGCCACATCTAGAGGACCATGTCCAGTTCTGGGCTCCACACTTATAAGAGAGATGCTTGCAACTGTACTCATCTCTTCTGCTTGTGGTAAGTGCACAAGTGTGGGGAAGAAGCCTCTTTTGTTACCATGTGAAATTAAAAAGAAGGTTTGAATAGTATTTTATTTAGCATTAAAACATCACTAGTTCTAGTCAGCCAAAAATATACGTGGGGAACAGCCTAAAATTACTTCACGCTCAAATGCAAGTTTTCCCATGACCGAATATATCAAATTGCTCTAATAGCTCATTAATATACATACACAGTACCAAAGTACATAGCAACTCCTGTAATGCTTTTTTAAATGTCCCAATTAATTTTTAATTCAGTGCTCCATACACAATCTTAACACAAAATGTTTTTTCAAGACTTTAAAATAACTACAACTACAATTTCAAAAACCTTTATTGTTTAATATATAATATTAAATATATTATATATAATGTGATAAAGTCAGTACAGACACACTGAATAACAAAACCAGCACAGACTGAAAGATACAGAAAAAAGAGGAAATGACAAACACTATACATACATCCTACACTAAGCCTGCAGCATAGAAATGAACTTTCAATTTTAAAAACTGTTCCATTCCTATAAATGATGCAAAAGTTAGGTTGTGTCTGGTGAAGATTTGGTAGTTTTTTTTAAAATGCACCTTTCAGTACCAGATTCAATTACAGGAGACTCCAGACCTTTAGAAGCTACAAAGATGTAACAGATGAGCAGTTTTTCTCCTTTAAGCATATTAATCACCAAAACAGAATAAACTTTCACAGTAGGACACAAGACCATAGCATAGATTGGAAGACTTGTACTATAGAAGTTCTATGTAAGTCTGCACTTAAAAAACCTTGTACTCCCTCCCCAGCAAGACAGCTCAGAAATGGTATCCAGGCTAACTGCACATCAGGATAAAACTCCTCTCCAATCCAGGGTTACCTCCTAGCTCACAAAAGAAAACAGATTACAACATGAAAAAAATCACAAGCTCACTTACGACACAGTTGAAGCAGGTAGTAGTACATCTCATCTCTATCACATTCAAATAGATTTTGAGTTAATTCTACCAAATGTTCCAAAGTCTCCATCTTTAAAAAGAAAGGACAAACGCATTTATACCTCAGCCAAACAATTATATTTCTATGTATATGCACTTACATGTTGTGCGCATTCAGCTAAAATAATATTTAAGTATACACCGCCATTTACACAGAGCATTAAGTTCACCTCATCAGCCTGTCACATGTCCTTTCACAAACATAAAAATCAAGCAATGAGATATTTCAAAACAATTTTTACTGGAATATAATGACAGTTACATAGAAGACATCATATGAGCCACATACCTGATTACTTGATATACACCTTTTTGCAAACCACTGCAACCTTCCAGAATGTGCTCTCAAGCCAGGAGTCTGCAACATATTTCCACAAGAAGCAGCACATTACTTCACCTAGAATAGTCTAAGGAAAAATAAACATAATACATGTACTCATAATAAAAGCTCCTAGTTTTGGTTTGTTTGAAACCTTAATGAGACTACAAGCTCACAAATAATCAAGTTAAGTTACATTTATGAGACTTAAAAATTGCAGTCATTTTATTAAAGACATTTTCCTTTTTGTTTGAACACTGCCAAGAGAGTTGATTTAAAATATACTTCAGATGAGCTGAAATGTTAAATAATTTCTATCACCACAATAATAGACAATTATTGCTATTACCAATGGTAATAATTTGTATTACTCATGGTAAAGAATTACACAAAATGTTTCCAAACTATCTTCACAATGAAATGTTCTTATTCAACACTGCTGCAACATCTTTGCAACTAGAAAACCATGCCTCCCAACAGCAACATCATCAATTAGTACCCCTTCTCTGCTAACATCAGCCATTTTCTTACAACTATTAATATCTAAAAACAGTAGTCATTTTAGATGTTGACTTATCTTGCTACTGCTCAGAAAGTAAAACAGGACTTTACAGAGCAGTAACTGCAACAACTGTAATGCGCTGCCAATGCAGATGCCAGGTATTCCTAACTGTAATGCAATTCATGTCCCAGAACAGAGCAAAGGCTTACTCTTAAGTGTGTGTACATGGAGGAACTGATGTATAATAGTCAATATACTATAGTTGTTTATGTTATTAATTCTCCCAGGTTTGATGAGCCTTTACTTATTCATTCCTCTGTTGTTTTGAGTCGACTCAGCTACAGAATATGCATTCTCAAAAAGGTTTCAATCCTTGGAAACACCATTTGGTACAGACTACCACATTGTGACTTCTCAGCACCACAGACCATAATCAAAATATTGGTTCCTCCACTTAAACAAATTCTTAAATATAAATTCAAAGTTCTTAAAGAAACACATCACAGGCATGCCAGTACTTATGTATCTAAAAAAAGGATACAAAAAAACCCCCTATATTCAAAGCATCCATCATTTTTACTTGTTACCCTTTCCTCCAACAGAGTACTTGAGTTTACTTTCTTTATACTCTTCTGTTTTAGCACAAGGATGATTTACAGAGAGGACTTTGCTTTCATTTCAGGTGTCCAGATTCACACTAATATAGCTCAAAGTGATTCAAAGGAAATGCCTGTTCATCCCTACAGAGAGACGTGTATTTTGGCTCTTAAAGGCCTTTTTAGCTGTTAATATTATAAGAAGTCTCCAATGTTCAAACGTGAAGTACAACTTCCAAAATTTAAACACCACTTCGCATAAAAGACGCAGTTTGAACAAAAAGCTGTGAGAAATATGGAGTGTCGGTTCCAAAAGAATGGAAGCAATTACCATTGAAGGAGTGAATTCACCTTCTATCTTTTTAACACTGATAATTTCCTTTTCCCATATTCTCCAAGCACAGAGTTTATTGCCATTACATCTTTCTGAAACAATTCAGCTTACATGAGAAAAGCAGCATCCAAAACCTCAGTCAAAACTGCTAAAATTTGCTAAATATAGAGGAAACAGTGTTCTGCTGAGTAAATTTTAGGCCATATAATCCAACTCATTTATGCAGTCATTGTAAAGTTTTTTTAAAAAAGGACATTAAGCCCCCAACTCTTTAACATGGAGCACCTTCTCTATGTACTTAACTGTACTATAAAAACAGTCTCAAAACAAGAGGTTACAGAAAAATAGTGCCTTCTCAAGTATTCAAAAGTGGTATATACAAACACAGTTTTGCTTTCCAGGTAGTTGGGTTTTTTACAATTAGGTTTTTTTCCCTATACTTATGTTTATAGGTAACTGTTCAGTGCTTTTTTATGAGCTACCAAGCAGTTTAACATTAAATATGCTGAAAACTAAGTCAAGAATTAACATATTACACAACAGGCTCTTGAAAATGAAAAAGAAAAAAGCATGTTGCCTGCATTTGTAGCTAATCCTCTTTAAGACATGGTAAAATTCAAATGCTGAATTCACTTACAACTTCCAATATCATTGCTGATCCGAATGCCAACGAACTCAACAGCTCCAAAGCTACAAACTTTTTATAGTAAATCCTTTCCTGTTCAGAAATGATTGATGTGTCTGTCACTACAAGGACAGCTGAGTTATACAACAGATATCCTTGTGTTTCATTTTGAAATTGAGACATGTTTTCACATACTGCAGGTCTCAATCATCAAAAGAACATCTAGGTCAGATTAAGCAAATCTCCAGGGCTTGCCTGATAGTCCACATTTGTAGCTTATCCCTTCCCATCTTAGGGAATTTTAAACATTGCATTTAGCACGAAGCAGAATTTCTACTATACAGCAGACTACAACACAGAATAAAAAAAGCAATGAAAAAAATTAAGTAAAAACCTGTTACTCTGATTACGCTTCCAAACTCCTATTTACTATTTTGACCTCGTTTGTTTCAATGGACCAAACAAAAACAAAAAAAACAACAAAAAAAAATCTATCAAGTATTAGTGTTTTGGTTTTTAAAAAATTTTAAAGACATTCACTGCTTTAAAGAATTAAACAACTATTGAGGGTCACAAGCAGTTCATACAGCATATACACTAAACATGGAAGTCTTCTGGCTTTTACATTCTCTTTGAATGCCAAATAGTTCTACTGTACAAAACCAAAGGCTCACCTAGCTTGTTACCCTCTCCCTAACAGTGCCTATAGTAGAATATAAAATGACAGAAAAGCCAGCCATACTTCCCCGTTAGTACTCTTTCACTTCCCAACTACTTGAGGTTCAGTGGGTCAGATGGTTTCTACTAAGTAATTTCTCTTCCATGAGCTTTTCTGGTTGCCCCCAGAACCCTGTAAGATCTTTCGGCAAAGGGTTACCTCAACTACCTTCCGCAGAAAACAAGCAAAATACTATCTCTTCTTGTTTGGTTCAGCCTAGCTTCCACTAGCTTAATTTGAAGTCCCTAGATTTTGTATTGGAAAACAATGCACAAATGATTCCTCTTTATCCTCTCCATTTTACAGTAATTTCATGAGTGGTACATAGAATAATTCCCTGTTCCACCGTTTCTTCTCTGGACTAAGCAGGACTCACCTACTTAGTCGTATTTCTTATAGAAACCATCCCACACTTTTTATCACATTTGTTACTACCTTTCTGAGGCTCAACATACAACTCTATGCTAATTTACTCACTGATTCTATACCTTCACACACATAAAGGAAAACTAGCCAGAAGGGGAAAAAATATGCTGCATCTTCAGAAGAACTCCTGCCAAGCAGCACTCAAAAAATCCTGTGAGTAGAACAATCCTAACACACTGGAAGCGTTTGATTTTTTCTCCTCCTTCCTAGAACCAGTGACTTCAAACAGGTTATTGAAGGGATCCAATCACCAGAAAAATCTTTTCTGCACTAAGATTTTTATTTGAACTAATTTCTACCTATTATAGCTGAACTAAAAGATTGTCTGGGAAAATACTGACCTGGCAGAGAGAAATCTATTCAATGGGGTTTTTTAGATTTTTAGATAACGATAGAAATAGTCAAGTTTTGTTTACATTAGGGTCCTGTAACTGTTGCAGCTAACAGACTAACACTATTTTTCTACTTCTTTTTAAAGTTAAGTATTTATTTATTTCTCTCTACTTACCTAAAACAACCTTTTTCTCTTTCAACACAAAACTTACTTAAGAGAAAACCCACAAAAGCCAACACAAAGACCAGAAACCCTGTGGTATTGTTGAAAAAGAGGACCTTCAGAAAAATAAGAGTTGAGAATGTCCCAAAACAGTAGCACTTTTGCTGTAGCTGGCTTAAGGTGCATAATTATTTAAAAGCCAGCAGAAGTATTTTTAATTTGGCATACATGTGACACGAGATGTATTACTCGCTTGTTTTACCCTTTGAACACTGCACTTCCACAGATTAATACTGTGCACTGGTTGGCAAAATAACTGTTACTTATTCTGGACAACTTACTCTTGCCTTTCACAGTATAACCTCACCATGAGTAACAAACAATTCTAACCATTCAAGTTTAACTCTACCCTCAAGTGTTTTATGTTTTCTTCTAAATACTTAAATTTTCTTCCCAAAGTTCAACATTTTCTTAGGGAAACAGTTCTACTATTATCACCAATCCAAACATACTGGGAAGAAATAGTCAAATTTTATAAACACCATCCACGCTGCACTTTTGGACAGGTAGATCCACTCATTCCTGTCTTTGCAGCTGAAAAAGCCAGTAATAATAAGAGACAGCTAATGCTGCTAAAGGAAGAAGAATGCTTCATGAGGAGTTACATCAACAGCCATAACAGACTTATGTTACCAGTACCAGAAGCAGTTACTGAGATTTAGATGCCAAAGCAATGTCTTGCAAGAAAATGCGTTACTTCTCCAAACAGACAGCCTTGAACAGAGAGCTATAAGAACTGATGTATGTCATTTCTAACAGCTCTCTCTAACATAAGTGCCAGTGAAAACAGAACATTTGATGTGAAGTTCTTAAAGACAGATTTTTCCCTGATTCCACAAAAATGTCTGCGAAAGTCTCACAAATTCCATGTAGCTTCAATGAAGCCTGGGAAATTTTTACATAGCAGCTTACTTGACCAAAGTTTTTTACAACATAAACAAGCATAAAAGCTTGAATACACTTAGATCTGTACCTTCAATACAACTACTTTTCATGTTTGTTAATAAGGGCAAGTACTCTGATGTGGTAGCACCAAAGTTTTGAAAATTAGGAGTTGCTCCACTGCAAGTTACACCTTCAAAAGCTGCTCAGCTATGGTGTATTTGATATTTTATTTGCACCATCTGATATTTAATGAAAGACAATGGACACACCCCTAAATATGTCTTCTCCCTAACTCTCCTGTCAGGAGTGATTACAATTCAAGCCCATGCTCTCCTTCCTGCTGATCCTACAATCACCCAAGGTAGCAACTAGCCTACTTCTACTAGTTTAATTTTTA